AGGGGGGGCCAGATGCTGGCGGGCTGGTCACCGATCCGTGGTCAGGGGCGCTGGGTCGGTCCTGCTCTTCCTCTGTAAGAAAATGTAAAATGTGCGTTTCTCTTGGAAAAGCGTGTGCTCCAGAGTTTGTGGGGTATTTTTCTTTTTTCTTTTGGTGGTGAAGGGAATGAGGTGATTTGACTGCCCCGGCTGAATTTGCGTTCTGAAACAGCTGGGCATATTTGGGGATCAGGAGGTATCTGACCGCTGCTCATGCCCAAACCGGTGATCGTCCATAACCCCACGTGCCTCGCTTTTTTGGGGGAGGGGGAGTGAATGAGGGTCACCGATGGGTTTTATGGCAGAGCTCCCGCCGTACATAGCAGGAGTGCCCCGCCATTAGGATGGAAAAACTGGGCTCCAGGAACCCAAGAGTGTGTTGAAGACTTTCATTTCTCAGCATGCTCTTGGCCCCGAGTTTGGGTCTCCCGGACAAAGCTCAGAAAACTGGAAGGACTCATCAACTGGGATGACTCTGAGATGTGTGACTCGGTCTCATAGCCAGGGCATGCAGAATTGAAGTGAGGGTCCATGGCTGACACCATGGAAGGGAGAAAGAAGGCAAAGGCCAGTGTTTCAGACGTTCAAGGGACTTAGTCCCTGGAGTGTGGCCGCTCGAATGCTCCTGCATTCTGGCCTTCTCATGTCGAAAAGCCTGGCATTTTGACTAAAGGGTTCTTATTTTTTCCACTGCTTGGAACGCTGTCCTATGCAACAGAGGATCTTAGAGGATAAGGAATATCCTCCACCAACCCCCCGTCCTTCTCATCTCAGATCCATGACAAAGAAAGTTCTGGAAGAGGTCCCTCAGAGCCACGGGCCAGAAGGGCAGTCAACAAATAGACCTCAGCCGTGTTCACCAGTGCTGAGGCTCGTAAGGCATGTGTAGTGAAAATGGATTTCAAGTTCATTCTTGGTTAGCCAGAACATTCATGCAGAAATGCAGCCCTCCGCCCCTTTCTCTCAGCATTTGGTGAAGTGAATCCAGTTGCCTGGTTGGCTGAGCTTCGCCGTAGCTAAGGGTTTAACTCTTTATCTCCGCTTTTTAAAACCATTTTAGAATCAAATCTTAAAAAATCGTCTCATAGTTCTGTGCCTTCTTTCTTTCCCTGTCTTTCCTCTGCCATTGTAGCAAATGCTCTTCTTCCCACACGGGTGCAGAAATGAGAAAGGATGGTGGGAGCTATATGTCGCTGACTGTCATATACAGGAAGTGGATCACTCAAAGCCATCCCTGGTGCAATTATTTCTGCCCCCATCGTCCCTGGTCACCCAGGCATCCTTGTAGACAATCTCTGCTTGATTAAAGTGGAAGGGCCATTCCAGGTCATTTTGTCTAACCATCTGGGTTTTAACACGGGGAAACCGAGGCCTAAAGAATGAGAAGGGATTAGCCACATACGAAAAGGTCACGACACAGTAGAGGCCAAAACTAGAATTCCCATTTCCAGATTTGCCTATTTCTAGAACTTTATGCTTTTTAGTGTGATTCAGCTTTGACTGGAAGTTCGGGCAATCGCCAGCAGGTGGTAGTAGATTTATTTAGATGCGGGACGTTCTGAGCACCCTGGAATCAAATTCCACAGGCAGTAAGTCCCTCATTTATCAGGGAAAACAAGCCTGGAGCTTGAAGTTTTATTCCTAGGTGTCCTCGTGACTATGGAGATTGCCAAAAAGTTGTTGATGATGATGAATTCACTTCCGGACCTGACATCCCAGAGGGCCCTCTTCCGCTTCTGCTTGAAATTTCTAACCAAGACCAATAGCCTGAAAGGGAACAAGAAATACAAAAATACCACTATATTTTGTACTTGTTGAGGTACAGCTAGTTAATTTAATAGAATATCTGCAAATATACAGGTTTAACGGATTTAAACCTGAGTATGGGATCGTGGTGTTAAGCATAGAGCACTGACCTGGAAGTTAGCCTGTCTGTGTCCTGGACCCAGGTCTGCCACATGACAGTTTGGCTGGACTGTAGGGTAAGTTTGGAGTAAAACGAGAGGGAAAAGAGGTAAGAGGAAAGGATTAGGCAGAACCCGACCTAGCGAGCACTACATCCACAGTGCGCGATAAATAAACGAAGCAAGAAAGAGAGTTTTGTACCTGTTGTCCAAACTGAGGAATTCGATTTTTATTTTAGAGTCCACCATAAGCTTTCGCAGTGTCTGTACAAGGGAATGACTTAATCAGAGCGGTGCCTTGGAAGAACGGCTGTCTACTTTGGAAAAAAGGAACTAGAAAGAGGACAGTGAGAACAGTTAGGGTGTCATATACCTCTGCTTCTGGTAATGGCAGCCTAGGTGATTTGAACTAACCATCCAGATGAGGACAAATAAATAAACTGGGTGAAGTATAGGAAGAAATCTTTGTTTATCGAAAGCTAAAAATAATGAGGCTAATTTATAGATTCAGTGAAACCCCTGTCAAAATCCCAAAGGCATCTTTCGCAGAACTAGAACGAACAATTCTAAAATTCGTACAGAACCGCAAAAGACCCCCAAATAGCCAAAGCAATCCTGAGAAAGAAGAACAAAGCTGGAGACATCACAATTCCTGATTTCAAATTATACTTCAAAACTATAGTAATCAAAACAGTATGATACTGCCATAAAAAAGGTAGACCAATGGAATAGAATAGAGAGCCTAGAAATAAACCTATACATGTACAGTTACCTAATATTTGACAAGGGAACTGTGAATACTCAATGGGGAAAAGACAGTCTTTGTAATAAATAGTGTTGAAAAAGTAGATATTTATATGCAGAAGAGTGAGATTTGACTCCCATCTTATACCAATTACAAAAAAATAACTAGGAGTAGATTAAAGACTTAAAAGTTCTTACTTAAGTAAGACTTGAAACTATAAAACTCCTAGAAGAACACATAGAGAAAAGTCTTTGACATTTGTCTTGGCAATAATATTTTGAAGTAATACCTAAAGCAAAAGAAGCACAAGCAAAAATAAAAAAAGTAGGACTATATCAAACTAAAAAGCTTCTGCACAACAAAAAGAAGTAATCAACAGAATTAACAAGCAACTTACAGAATGAGAGAAAATATTTGCAAACCATCCTTCAGATAAGGGATTAATATTCAAAATATCATGCAAGAAAACTAATAATAATGCAGTTAAAAAATGTTCAAAGTAAGTAAATAACATTTTCCCAAAGAAGACATCCAAATGGCCAATAGGTTCATGAAAAGGTTTTCAGCATCACCAATAACAGAAATGCAAATCAAAACATGAATAGACCTTGAGATAATCATGCTAAGCGAAATAAACTAGACAGAAAAAGTTGAAAATCAAATATCACTTATATGTGAGATATAAACCTAAAAGCAACAAATGAACAGGACAAACAAACAGAGACTCATGGACATGGACTATAGGCTAGTGGTTACCAGAGGGTAGGGGGTGAGGAAGGAGCGGGTAGATAGATGGTTAAAGGGGGTCAAATATAGGGGGGGTAAGGGAGGGTGAAGTGCATAAATGGGATCAAATATATGGTAGCTGAAGGAAACTGGACTTTGGGTGGTAAACACAATAGAATATATAGATGTCAAATTATAATGTACACCTGAAAATTATATAATTGTATTAACCAATGTTACCCCAATAAACTTAATAAAAATAAATAAATAAATAATTATAAAACCACAATAAAATATCTAACACTTGTTAGAATGGCTATTTTCAAAAACATAAGAGAAACACTAATCATGATGCAGATAAAAAACAATCTTTTTGCATTATTGGTAGGAATTGGTAAATGTTTCTTAAAAAATTAAAAATAGCATCACCTTATGATTCAGAAATTCCACTTCTGGGTATATATCCAAAGAAAATGAAATCAAGATCTTGAAGAAATATCTGCATCCTCATGTTCGTTAGATTTATTATAGCATTATTTACAGTAGACAAGACATGGAAACATCCTAAGTGTCCATCAATGGATGAAAGGATAAAGAAAATCTCTCTTTCTCTCTCTCTCCCTCTGTCTCTCTCTTTCTCTCTCTATCTCTCTCTCTCTCTCTGTCTCTGTCTCTGTCTCTCTGTCTCTCTGTCTCTCACATACACACACACACACACACACACACACACACATGCCAACCCTGCATTTCTTTGCAGGTAGCAATTCTCATATCAGCCCTTAGATTTGTAGATTAACTGTATGCTTTGCACTCGTTAAAGGAAATGGTTTAATTTTTTTCCTATGAAG